GATTATTTTGAAGACTTATACGTTTCATATTACTGGTGCTATTATTCATACCAATATTAGTTACATTGTGTAGCCATTGTTCTACTTTTTGTCCACCTTCTGGCGCATTTCCTTGACCAAATGTTGATGTTATAATGAAGATGATTGCTCGAGTGTTGTTAGTTTGTTCAAATGGATATGAATCTAATTCCATTAATATAGCATTATAACCTGTAATTTTTAATCGTTTGACCATTTGTTCAGCATATGATTGTGCTGTTCCACTAGCTGATGCATAGAGAACATGAATAGATATTCTTCGTTTCATAGCTGACAGAGCAAAGCCAATAATAACACATGCAGCACGTACTAGTAGCCAGCGACGACGACGTTTATTTTCTGTAGACAATGTTAAATTTCGTTTATGTTTGAGAAACGGAGCATAGTAAGTCCAAGGATCCCGTTGATCTAACACTCGTGGTTTGACAACATAATTAAGCATTTCTTGATGAAACAAACTGCTCATACCACCACTGATAGGTGGCACAAGCCACACCCAATCAGCTGGAGTATTTCCCCGTAGAATTACTTCTTGTTTCATAAATTTAATGAATCCAGCAGCAGCTGTATGATGATCAACGATAGTTATTTGAGCTTTTTGAAACGAATAAAGAACAGCTGCATTGATTTCTACATATAATCGATCAACGTTCAATTGACTATTAGCCGCAGTAGTAACATCAAGATTCAATAAAGCAGCTAACTTTGGAATAATATTATAACGTTGTATATCACATAGATTTCTTCCAATTTCAGTTTCCATAAACCAACCACTAAATGGAACACATCGATAAAAAATGCCACCAATTTCAATAGCTTTATCACAAACATAAGGTTGAACAACCCATCGTAGACCTAATTTTTTAATTGCTGCATCATATTTTGGATCAGGATGTGATAAGAATATTTCAAGACGTAGATCTTGTGGAAGTTCATACCAACTTGGAGGTTCATTTGGATCAATTTGAACGATAATGGGTAGTAAATCCCATTGTGTTCGTTCTGTTTCTGGTTTATTCCAACCAAGTTGCATTGCTGCTTTAGTTAGATGTCGATTCGCTGGATCACCGAGTAGTGTACCATTTAATTGTTCATAACAAGCATAACGTAGATACTGTGTTGACCACATTCGTGCTCGAGAACTGAATACAAGAATCGATGATTGTAATGTACCTTTATTATATGCAAAACGGATGTGATTACATATTTCTTTAAACATGTCATGGTTGGTTTTCACATCTCGACGATCAATAATTTTGAGATCACGCCAAAATAATCGATTGATACAACGTGATGCATTACGCCAAGCTAATTGACCTCCATATTCGATTTCATCAGTTGTATGTACATAGCTACGTGTATGTTCAATCTCGAGTTCAACTTGTTCTAATCGTTTTTTATAATCTACTTCCGAAGTATTTTTGTCTTTATGAAAAATTTGAAGATAATCATATGCTTCTTTTCGGATGTTAGTTACTGAGTACGATTCTAACTCATCCATTACGTGACCACTTTTTGATTTATTTTGATGTGAATGTGCAGGAAGTGACATAAATGTTGATGTACAGACTTGATGACGGCAGTCTTGATAAATATTAGGTAGTGGTCCAGTTACTGAGATTGATTCACCTGTCTGATAATTTTGTAGTTGGACTCGCTCGATTTCTGGTGTCCAAAGTAATCTATTTTCATCTGCGTTGCCAGCAGATGATAATGAATCGTTCACAGCTGAGAATTCTTGCCCAGAAATAAATGGACACTTTCCTGAATTATGTAAAACTACTTCACCGTTATGCATCTTGAATACTTGCTCTAAACAAAATTAATACCTTTCTTAAAAAATAAAAAGTATTATATAATAAGTTTACCTTCAAGTTGTATTGATATTCTTCTGAATCAATGATTGGGTAAATGTGTTCTAGTAGCATGTAAACTCTATAAGCAGTTGGTCTTTATATATGTGGTTTACTTCCCTTTGCTAAGTAGTTTTTAATGTGATTATAATAAATCACGAATGTAATGAGTAATGTAGACGAGAGTCATTTTTCACCTTTATGAGTCCGATACAGAATTGTGCATATTTGTCATTAAACAAAAAAAATCATAAACCATGACAAATCGAATGAAAGGAAGTTTGTTTTTATTAGTCAATAAAAATATAATGCAATAATGAGTAAAATAGGAAGCCTTTTATTGTCGTTGACTCATACTAAATTTGTTGTTCTTCTTTCAGAAGCAACGAATTTGGCCAGATTTATTCGATGTTTAAAACCTATTTGATAATGAAGAACTTACAACGAGGTATTGATATTTGTTCGAAAGAAGTAACAAACGATTTATTCCACACTTCGAAGGAAGTGCATTATAAAAGATTTGCCTTTCACTGTTCCTGTTGGATAAGTGAAATCTCTTGTTGCTGATGTATATCTGACGCACTTCTACGTCAATCGTTGATTTTGGAGACACTCTTTTCCTGATGAATACATCTCTCATATAGTTTGCCTAAAAAATCATAGAATTATTATTGATGAATAAAAACTGGAAATGAAATTGAAAACAAGACTGTCAGACTGATTTGTTAGTCGTTATGGAAGATTTCTTTTTACGAAAAAATATTAGTTTTCATAGATTGGCATATATCTCTTATTATTCTTTTTTGTGTTTCATTCACTCGCTTTTCCATAAATATATACAGCGTGTAATCGTTCGTTATAAAATAATATTTGGCGATCACTCATATAAAAAGTTTCAGGAAAAAATCAGATTAAAACTGATTTTATTTGATTTCATCATCCGTATTTCATGCCAATCTTTTATTAGCTCGTATCGACGAGTTTCTGGTTTATTCAAAGAAGTGAAAGAATTCCTCCGAACATGACTATCCAGATATAACATGAGAGAAGAGAGAAAAAGAGAAGGAAGAATAATAATAAGTGGAAGAGAGAGATTGAGATAGACTAACGATTCTTTTTTTCCACATGAAATGTTTGTTCAATAATTCATTTTATTGAAATGAATTGTTCCTGTTGATTATTAAAATATTACTATTTCTACACTGTCGTTTCCTTGTATTTGTTCTAACTTATATTCATTCATTAGTTTGCATGTGTTTGATAATACTCAGTAAAATTTTGGATATGATTCGAAATAAATTATTTGTTATATTTACATTAATAATAATATTTTTAAATAAATTAATCAGTAGAATAAATGTAATTCTTTTTCCTGTTATTGATGCATTAACTTATATATGAGAATTCTATTAACATTAAAATATTCTTTTGAATTGTTTGCATACTTATCATATCTTTAATAAATTCATCTCTCAGCACAATACTAGATAATACAAAAAAGGTATGTTGGCTTTTATTAGCTGATATATAATAAGCATGAATTTAAATGCAAATGAATATTAGAAATATTGTTTAGCTTCAAAATATAGTGAAATGTTCTAATATTAGTTTTGGTACGAATTACTGTAACGTTTATTCGTTTTTTTTGTAAGGAAAAATAATCATAGTGGACAACAATATAAACTACTAGGAAAGTTAAGGACAAATGACAGGAAATATGTATCATTGTTGGTACAAGAAACAAAAAAGATAAAGTCAATTCTACAGTTTAAACGAATTGAATTGGTATTATTCTTCTTTTATTTTTTCCATGTACCTAAATTTAAAAAAATATATTATAGAAATTAAAAACAAAAATATAATAAACCTGTTTCATAATCCCATTTAGATGCTAAGCCTGTCATAGGACCTTGTCGAGCAGCAATATGATATTCTAATTGTTTCTTCAATTTTGCGTCTTTCATACTATCTGGTCCATCAAAACGATAACCTGAAATGATTTCAAATTTTTTATTGTAAATGTCAAACTACTAGAAAGAAAATTATTACGTACAGATACGTCGCCATCCATCATAAGCTAAAGTTGCACCTGCTATAGAAAGTAAAGTCCATCCAATTGCCCATTTCCAAATACCAGTTGGAGCAGTAAATTCTTCAAATGTTTGACGAAAACTTGATCGATATACTAAATATAAAAGAAAATTATAGATAAAGAAATAAATAATTAATCTAGACTTACATCGTTTTTTATCTTCAACTGATAATTGTTTCCAATCACCTTTTTCTTTCTTTCTTAATTCAGCAATTGCTGGTGTATCAGCTTCCCAACGAATACTTGGACAAGGAAACATAACCAAATCAAAATATTCTGGTTTTCCTTTTAAACCATAACCAACTATTTCTCGATTACCAATACGTGGATGCATACGCATACGATCAGCATCTAATTGTGGTGCTGGTTTTCGATTATCTAATACAACTGGATTATTTTGTACAACACTACTAGTACTTGATGATGATGATGATGCAGTTGAAGCATCGACTCGACATTGATATTGTAGCATTGAAGCTACTTGAGGTTGAGTCAGTTTTACATTTCGAAGGAGAAGACTATTCATCCTTCTTTAATTAAGGATATTTTTTGTTTCGATATATCTAAAATAAAATGTTCAGAACAATTTCTATAACTGACACCTATTTATAAAACGTCAGTAGTCTAGAAAAATAAAAAATAAACAAAAATAATAATGGCGACATCATCTAGATTTTCATTGGTTTATTAAAACTAACCAATGAAATTAATTCTATCGACCTTCTTCTTCTTTTCATTTGTTTTTACTAACATAACATTGATTAATATTCAGGTTAAAATCTAAAAAAAGAAAAGTTCATAAAATAAATCTTATTATTATAAAACAAAGAAATTTATTTATTAAGAAATATTTCAATTCTAAACTAATCATTCATATATTTATACAAAAAATCAGACGTTACTCATTTATTCGACCAGATATATTTAGAAAAACTGAAATATTTTAAAAAATAAACAACCTTCAAAATGTTTATTTTTACATGTCAAATATTTTTCACTCTTTCAGATTAATTCTAATGAAAAAATATCTTCTAATCAGTTTATTATTATTGAATATTGTAACTTATTCTTTGGCAACTCTTGTCGATGGAATTGTTACATTAAGTTGGTCACCAAATGAACCTACACCATTAATTGATCGATTTTTATCAAATAATACTCAAATTCAATTACAAATTCTTTGTCATGAATCAACAACAAATGTTAGCGTAGTTTTAGATCAAGTTAAAAAGAAATCATATAAATTTAATAAAGCACCTAAAGATGTAACTATTAAAATTCGTGGTCGAATTGGTCGTGTTGTTGGATGTTTACCATTACAATCGGATACATTAATGAATATAGCTCAGGAAGATAAAAATGCTCAAAAAAGTCTTTCACAAGCATATTATGATCAAATATGGAATGAAATGGAACAAAGAACATTTACAGCTTCACAATCAGATTGTGATTATTCTGGTGCACATTTATATATTGAAGAATATTCGGATATTAAAAAACCGAAAATATCAAAAGAAGAAGCGATTAAAACACGAGAAAAACAACTTCAAAGTAGTACAAATAATAAAAAAGTACGTCGTGCAACTGAAGAAAAATCTTCACCATTGGTGAATGGTTTACGTTCAAGTACAGGAACAGTACTTACATGGGGTGATGGTTATTATCTTATTGAAATTTATCAACCAGAAATCTTAGGTACAAATAATCCAGTATTTAATGTTGATCTTGTTGTATCAATGAAAAATCATCGTGGAACTTATATTACAGCTGATGAACGTCCATCATTAATTTTTTATGGATTTATGTGTGCTATTTATGCATTATTTGCTATTTTATGGTTTGTCTGGTGTGCTTTATATTGGAAAGAATTACTTAAAATACAATTTTGGATTGGCGGGGTTATTCTTATTGGTATGATTGAAAAATCAGCATTTTTAGCTGAATATGATACATTAAATAGAAATGGGTAAATATTCTTTCATTATTTTCTTATTAGAAAATATATTTTCAATTATCTGAAAGCACAAAAAAAAAGTAATGAGAATTATTCATTTTCTACCAATTTAGTAATTAAAAAATAAACTAAACTTGTAGTAAAGAACTAGAAGCAAATGAAATTAATCATAAATCTTTTTTCTTGAATTGAATTCTACTGATAATTATTTCAAAGAAATTCTTAATTGTTGATTTTATTTAGATATAAAGTTCATTATGCAATTGTAGCAGCCGAAGTTCTTTCATGTTTAAAACGTGCTGTATCACGTATGCTTGTTGTTATTGTAGCACTTGGTTATGGAATCGTTAAACCACGTTTAGGATCATTAAAACAAAAGGTTTTAGCTATGGGTTTATTATATTTTACAATCGCATCAACTGAAGCTATTCTTCGAATAAATACAAAACATGATGAAATAAATAATAAAGTCTTAATTTCACGTATTCCATTAGCTATTGTTGATGCGATTTTTTATTATTGGATATTTACTGGTTTAGTTGCAACAACCCGACAATTACGTTTAAAAAAAAATTTACTTAAATTAAATGTTTATCGACATTTTACAAATGCGGTTTTATTTGCTATTATCGCAAGTTTATTATTTATGGTTTGGTCTTTAAAATCACATTTTTTTACAACATGTATTACTAATTGGAGAGAATTTTGGGTAAAATTTTTTTTTCTTCTTCTTTTATTAATAATTCATTTAATATTATTTAAGGTTGATGATGCATTTTGGCATATATTATTTTCAATAATTCTTCTTGTCATTATGTTTTTATTCCGTCCATCAAATAATAATCAACGTTATGCATTTGTTCCATTACTAGATCAATCGGATAATGATGATGATGAATTCGGCGACGGTGATGAAGAAAAAGGCGGTAAGAAAACAAAAAATCAATTTTTTTTACTCTAGAGAATACTAGATCTTCTTCAAATTTATCATTTACATATATAATGATGTTGTCAAATGAAAAAATAGTATTGTTCATTCCATGAATATCGATAGAATCGAAAAATACTTCTGTAGGCATTATTAGTAATTTGATATTTATATCTTCGAGTGACAGAGCATGATCAATAAAGGTTATGCTGTTGTTATCGCGATCAAATGAGGAAGAAACTATTTCTCTAGGGTGTAATATGAAAACTTCTGTAAAGCGGCTGATGCATCATTTAAAAGGTCAAATCATTCTATTCCAATTTAATGATCTATCCGAAGTGTATTTCTCTCGTTAATAAGATAAGAAAAATGTTTTATTATGTATTCTAAATGCGTTTCTTCCAACAACAAAAAAACTACTCAGATTACATTTGATTTATCATTTCTGAGTTTCGTAAATATAGATGAAGAAACGGTATTGGTCTTTTAAATAATCAATCATATGTATTTACGTATTTCTTCTTTTAAAATTTCCAATAGAAATATTTATTCTCGAGAATTAATATCAGATATGAAATATTCATAATGTATTCTATCATAGACTCGGCAATGTTTGATTCATTAACAATGCGTAAAGCATCAAGCATAGAAAGTGGTGGATCAAAGACTAAAAAACAACAACAAGCATTTTTAAATCGTGAAGCAAATGTTTCCGGTAGTGGAGCTGGAGGTTCAAATGGTAATGGTGTTGTTGAAGATGCATTAACATGGGTAGAAGATAATATTCCAACATCAATTGCTGATCAGGCATTACAAGCATTAGATAGTGAAGATGAAATTGTTAATACAAAATTAGAAAGATCAAAAATGCAATAAGCATAATATCAAAAATCACAACTTTTTCAAATATATTTTATGTCGTATTCAGCTTTCTGTTCACGTCACGCGCCCAAGTATTTCACTATTGGTGTGTATAGATATTCCATTAATATATATATATATATATTTATATTTTTCTTTTCTCTTATCGTTGTTCGTCATGTTTGTTTTTCTTCTCTATATACTATGAGTTTTTTTTTGTTTCAGAGGCTTTTATTTGTCGAAATGACAAAAAATGTATTCTATCGTTTTTCTTTATCGGGATTAAGGTTTTGTTTAATTGATTTTGATTATCTATTTCTTTATTTTTTTCGGGAGGATAAAAATCTTTGAAAGAATGAAGTAAGATATTTCTTTGCTTTTATTGTGATAAGATATATACATTCATTTTCAGATGTTTTTATTTGTACATAGTCATTAATTCATAAGAAAATTCTTAAAGGATAAATGTTAAGTGTCTTATCTTATCTCGATTATGTTTATATGTCTATATAATTTTTCTTAATTAAAATTAAACAAAAAGAAAACGAAATGATCAATGGCAGCAGCAATGACATTAACAAATAAATCTTCAATTGTTAATAATTCATCAAAACATTCATCACCAATAATTAATCAACGAGAATCATATTCTCCAGCTTCATCAACAACACTCTCACCTGAATCAACAAATTCAATTTCATCACCTGATAAATCATTTGTATTAAATGAACAACAACAACAACTTCAACAACAATCAATTCGTCTTGTTGATTACTTTGTAGTTTGTGGAATAAATAAATATGTTGATGTTGAACCATCATCAGATATAACTGGTAAGAAAAACACATAAAGAGGGTGATCCAAAAATGACTGTTTTTAACGCACGCTAGAAATGCTATAATACGAAAGTTCTTGTCACCTAGATCACGAATCTGACATCCGTTTGTCTAGATCTGAT